AATACTCTCTCGGGAGATAACCCTACCAGGAGAAACCCCGCCCAGGAGAAGACCTTCCCAGGAGAAACCCCTCTCAGGAGATCGACAGAAAGCTGGCTAAATTACGATCTCTCGGGAGGGATCTCTCCTAGGAGAGATTTCACCCAAGAAAAACGTCGCTTAGGAAAGATCTCGCCTAAGAGAGTTATCGCCTAAGGGGGTTAGATGCCTTAGAATATTTCAGTGACTGATAGGTCTACTCCTGGAGCGAATTCCTGCCCTGTGAAGAATTTGCTGAAGAGACTTTCGAAGCTGTAATTCTGTGATCTACATCAAAGCTAGCTGTAAAGTAGAACAATATTATAACTGTACTAGTCTATGGCTGGGAATAATTATTTATTTATTTCGTAGCGAATAGCCGCTTGTTTTAAATCAAGCTATTTTAAAGGGAGAAGTCAAATGGCGCAGAATAAAATCTAAGATAGCATGTAACAGCAGTAGATTGAAGATAAGATAGAAATATTTTGCCTCTTTGTAATCCCGAAGTTCAAAACTGGATATAGGGTCCAAAACTGACACCGTTGAAATGTGCCCCACGCAGTCTCAAGGGCTGACCAGTAGAAGTCCATTTCTCAACGTGGCCGGTAGCTCTTGAGTCATTCACGCTGTCTTTAGCGACCTTCTACTTTTCGGGGCCTCTACTTTCTGAGCCCTTCTACATTCTTGGCAGGGTGTTAGACGAATGTTCAACTAAACGTTGTTGCCTAGATATGAGTCACAGATCACGTGCTTAAACATTCTACCACTCTAGTAGCGCGCTCTGTCGCACGCTCTGGCCCTGCAACTCTGAACCTACCTCAACATCGACTAACCTTCCAGAATTGAGGCTATACTGTTCCCCAAGAGACCGCGTCTCGGTGTCTCCCTGGGTGGAATGGCCTCGCGAGAGGCACGTCCGTGGCCAGTTGGCGGGCGGGGCCGCCAGGGCTCCATGGCCCAGGGGGCTGCTGGGCGGTGGTTGTCTGTCTGTGTCTAGATGTCCGTGGCTCTGTCTCTCTGGCTTAGTGTCAGGGGCCACTGATCGGCGGCGCTGGCTCTACTGCCTCCGGTCCGTGTCCATGCTGCCCGGGCCTGGTGCCTACAATCTTACGTCATCTCCGAGGCCCTGCCAGATACATGAGCTTTTCTTTAGAGCTGACCAGGACGGGAGGCTCTCGGCTAGAATATACGATAACTTGGGATTCACTTCCTAATTTCTACAGCTACCTCGAAACCATTCCATACTAGGAATAAAATTCCGGAATACTAATCTGAGGATCCTTTTTCTGATGGGTTGGTGCGGCTCCATCATTCAATTGCGTCATGGTACTGTTTCCCCAGCGGAAACACGACGCTTACTCATCCGCCTGTAGCCCCACAGCCCCACTAGATACCGTGGATCTGGTTCCAGGCGTGAACAGAAAGCTTAGTCATTGTTCTGGGGATGACGATCAGACCCACTCTAACAGGCATTGACCTTCAATACATAAAATGGCGTCAGCCCCACTAGTTACCGTGTATCTGGTTCATGTATAATGAGCCGCCCACAACCAGGTGTTAGTTCTCGCAATCAATCCAATCCTCTACAATCCTAATCGCCTGTCCAGGTATTGCGGGCGTTCCCGTTCCTTCTTAATGTTCCTGTCTAGCGTCATCAACTTGGGAGATTATCTAGGTTATTATTATGAGGTATGGCGAGAATGATTCTAGGACGGTTGTCGAATCTGAAACCAGACTGACCCTCTATCGATTAACTATATACGTACTAGTACGTTTCACCCTAGGGTAGAAAGAGTGTAAGGCACTGTAGAGCACATGATGAGCCCAAAGGTTTATTTCCAACCTCTGGGTGCTAAAGCCATGTGCGGCCCTTTGCCATTGTAGTCACGGGACTGAGAAAGCTTGATCCTGTTCTGAACTTCAATCTCAACTTTACTTTTCCAATGACCTCTCAGTTTTCCGTTGTAATTTCTCCACAGCGTCGGTAAAAATCGAACATCTTGAATGCAGTATTGTACAATCTCCGTCGTGAGGGGGCGAACATTGAACACTTCGTAGCTACCTCCCCGCTCTGGAGCGAACAAGTTCTTTCCTTTTTCTTTTGCAACGGACCATTCCCGTATTTCCGCAGTTGTCATGGATGCATCGTGCTCAATGCATCTTGCCAGACCGTTAACACGTCTCTTCGAAAAGCTACGCGTCGCAAGCTCCATCAGTTGCAGGTCCTGTACTCCAGCGAGACGAATTCCAAAATGACTGTAGAGAGCATCCGAGTCATTGCGCACATCAAAAAAAACCTTTGGAATGGAAGGTGTTTCAAAAATTTCTTTCAAATTTCGGCCAAGTGGTGTTCGGTACGTAAACGCATCCTTTTTCAAGACATAAACATCGATGAGATAGGTGGTGTCACAGGGCATGATGTAAATCTGGAGGATTGATATGGTTCCGTTTCGCGAAAGGTTAACCCCTTCGAGATCGACGTACAACGAGGGAGGATGTGTTGCCAAGGCATCTATTGTCTCAATAAGTTCGTTTATGCCAGTGGTTGTTGAGATAATGATTGGTGAAGTTTTATCTTGGAGACTTGTTCCAACAAGAGTGGTTGTAAGCCCCAAAATCTCAGCATCTCTAACTTCGGTAGATGCCTGTGATGAAGTCGTCGAGGTCTTGATATTCACATCTGCAGAGTGTCCACGAACTCTTAATGGTGATACTACAAAGCTCAGAATTACTTGCGTATGCCTGTTGCTGATGAGCAGTACTTACGAGACATTGTAGGAGACCTCGAACCTTCCTTTTGAGTGTTGATTGAAATTACACTGTCCATAGCAGCACACGGAATTCAAACTATATTGCGAGCATACGGATGGGCAGGGCAGATTCATTTATATCAATATTCCATTTTAATTCTACAACGATCGATGATAGTCAGCTGTATAACTCCCGCAGCAAGATTCCACAGAGCGCCCTTGCTTCTGGCAGGAATGTATGTCAATAAATGGCATAAAGCCAGCTGGTCTGATGCAGTAGAATTTAAGCCTTATATGTAAAAGTTTGGCCACCAACACATAACCCACATTCTGACACGTCACAACCTCTACGAGGCATAAAGCCCCTTACCGCAATCCAATGCTTTCTGGCGCGCCCAATTGGCAAATTTTTGATGCTGCCAATGCCATAAGACACCTGTACAAGGTTACACAGCAGTGAAGGTAATCCCTCGACAAAGGTCGCTTCGCATCGTCTTTACGTTTCTTACCAGCTAGCTTCTTCTCACGTGGCGATATTGTCCACCACAATACTAGGTACGTTTCTATCTACTACACATACAGTTATTCTCTAAATTGCCGCCGCCGTATCATTCTCTCATTCAATATACGTCATGGTTCAGTTTTCCCAGCGGAAACACGAAGCTTATTCATCCGTCTGTCGAGCCCCACACAGCCCTTGTTCGTGCTTACCTTAGTCATGGCTAGCTTCAGGCGTGAACAGAAAGCTTAGTCATTGTTATGGGGATGACGATCAGAACGATCAGACCCACTCTAACAGGCTGGACCTTCAATACATAATAGCTTCCCATTCCATGCACCTTGGAATTGAATTCCATCTAAACACCCTCCGTCTGAAAGAACTGACTTTTTAGTGCTTTGGTAGAACCAAGCAGCGGCCATCGTGTAGATTCATATCTGATCAGATAGATACAGTCGTATTTCAATGCTGCATGCTTCGTCTGCATCCTGATGGCGGCAACCCTTCCCGTCTCTTACAACAATCCTTTGATGTGTAACACACCAGTCAAAGTGGCCCTCCTCAAAACAGCGTCCTGTCGGTAGTTTTCCGCATTGCGGGCTTCGCCAATCAGCAGGGTGTCCAGTTCCAAACAAAACAAGATACCTACCAGGGCTCCTGATGATCCGATCTGCTAATATCCTCCAGTATCTCCTTTAGGATTTCATTTTCAAAGTCGTCGTCCATTGAGTCTGTACGCTTTTTGCTTCTCTCACTGAGCTCTTAACTGAAGTCGCATCCAACGCATCCAATATGATTATAGCCATTGATCACGAAGATTGATGAATTATATACCGACAGCCTTGGATCCACATTCGGAAATAAGAATGTAGCAGATCCGGAGGCGGAGTATAATATTTTAATAAAGAATCGGAGTTTTAATAATCCCGATTCTTTGTTCGTATTTCAAGTGTCTTTCTGTTCGGCGAAAATCCGGCTACGTGATCGTATTACACACTGTATACTGATATGAGACCGATATCCGGCCCATCAACGTCCCCGAATTCCCTGCGAGTGTTACACAGCATCTATGAATACTGCTGGTGCTTTCATGAATGTCCCGGCGGTAGATTCATCGGCAAACAACGACTCTGACTACATTGCATCATCTGCTGGACCCAGAGAGGCTTCAGCTGATAAGTCTTGAATTCGGAAGATATTCAAGATTTATCAAGGGAATTTTAGAAAGAATACAGAGTTCCAAATCTATTCTAGCCGCAGATCGCCACGGACGAATCAAACAGGCATCTTGGATGCGCATGCAACAGAACTTGAAATATTCAGTACCGAGTACGGAGCAAAAGCCGGGAAGATCTGCGCAGAGTTTTCCAAGGACCATTATTCAATCAAATTTCGGAGCATATCTTAGCAGTCACTTTCGAAGTCCCGATATCGAAGTGCCGGGAAATGAAAATAACATAGTAGAAGATAACACATTCTACGCCGCCTTCAGAGGAAGAAAGCCTCCCCAACCTAGCCAAGCCAATAGATCAGGCTGGGAAATGGGAACCGAGCAATCTAGGAATGCACCAGGATGATCCCTTACATTTGAAGGGATTATTACTTGTCCACAGTCATCGTGATATATTACAGTAGCATCGGTCCTCATGTTACATTATCATTCAACCGATGGAATGGACCGTGTCGTAGTGCGCACCAACACCGCTTTTAGGGTGTTACGGTAGCTCACATAGTTTATGGAGGCTGTGCTATGTGCAGTATTTCAAAACATTTCTCGAATCTCGGAACCCTAAGTTATAAATATTGTGCAATTACTCCACTTCGGACAAACCTAATTCTTGACAGTTTACCACACCGCACGATATCCCACAGTGAATCTATATAATTGATGGAGTTGGAGGATCAGCTTTACCGTGCTTCAGATTAAAGCTTTTTTCTTTTCTTAACTTTTCGTCGCATTGAAGTGGATACAAAGATGAGGGTATCACGGAGCCAGCAAATAAAGAATAAGGCAAAGAACGAGTACTACGCTATTTATTTGGGCCGCGTTGACGAACCGACCATCTTTTCGTCTTGGTGTGTCTATCCAAGTAGCCAAGCAAAATAAACACTAATCTATTGCTCAGGGGTGATGCACATCCACGGGTGACCGGGTGTGAAGCAAAGCACGGCGCTTTCCCTACTCTTGAAAAAGCTCGGAACTTCCTGAGAGACGAATATGGAGTCACAAAGCCCAAAGAAGTTTTAAAGGAGGAAGCAGGAGAAACGGCCCCATTACCAGGCAGTCAAGCGTTCTATGCTGTAGCTAATGGTGAAAACCCTGGGATATATCCTTGTTATTAGTATGTGTCTCCAGTCCCCATCTTCTAGAACTGTTACTTATGCTGTCCAGTGGAAAAAACGGCGCAGCGCTAGAAGTTAAAAGGTTCAAGGGATCTTGCCATAAGGTTTTCAGAACTAGAGCTCAGGCAGAAGCTTTTATTGAGGACTGGAAAGACTCATATGCTGACATATGGCATAAAGCTATAAGAGAAGCACTAGAGTACAGTCTCAGACCAACGGACATAAAGATTAGGGTTGAACAGATATTATCATGGCTGCCTGAGAGCGATGATTCAATACATATGGAAAATTTGAGCATCAAGGAAGAATAGAATCTGGTGAGTAGTTCTGCTACTTTTAAGCTTCCTCAGGCTCTTCGGGACTGTACCAGCACAATATTAGCTTCGACTGAAAGATGAGGAATACAAAAAAAAAAGAGGCGTCGCCTACAATATCCATCTCAGGGTCGCTGCCCGGGCGTAATGGACCAGCTTCATATCGCGTTTTTCATCATCCGTTAACTGCATCATTGATTCCACGGCTGCAATAAGTGGCTTCTCATAGGGCTCATCGTAGGGACTCATGCACGAAAGCGTCGCAAGTTCATAAAATCGCGGATAAAATCCAGCATGGGCCCAATCGAGAAGACAAATGGATTTTCTGTCTTCTCCAAGTATCATGTTGCGACGAACCAGGTCCATATGACAGAGAACGAGTGGATATGGACTTAGATCAATAGAGTCGTTTCTAAGTGATAGACGCCTGTTGAGATAGCGATTCAAATGTGCAACAGACACGAAGGCCCTGTCCACGCCATCGTCACCCCAGAGATACCCCTGCGGACCCCGTTCACCGATTGGACCTGGCTTTTGCCCTTGTTTGATTTGCCCAAGGTGGGCAATGATATTGGTAATGCGGGGTATGATATCTGTGTGAATGGAGAGGTCCAAATCCGAGAGTTTCTGGCCGGGGGCGTGGTCCATAAATAGAAATCCTCTTCCTAATTCATCCTGGATAAAGCGATAAACCCTAGGCACTCGAACGATGTCATGATTCACATTATTGTAAGCGAATTCTTGCATCGTTGCTTCAGTGGCTGTCACGCTGTATCCCCATTTGGCGACGATGGTATGAGTGACTTTGACCACGATTGCGCCTATTATGTCGGCAAACACGGCATCTTCCTTTCCTCGCTGAATACAAAATTGGATCAACTCCTCATTACTCGCTGTTGTAACATCCAAAGCCATCATGTTCACACCACTGGACAAAGCTGAGCGTCGTAAGCAAAGGTGAAACAGGTGGATCACTGCGTGTCTGAGGGAAGACGGCACGCACCCTAGCTTTGCTCTTAGACTAAAACTATGTTACAAAGCTACTGCATCCAGGGGAAAAAAGGGCATTCTGAATGCTAGGGGAAGATATTTCTCTTTCTCCCTCGTCAATCTCCATAGCCGATTTAAGCCGCTTGGTCAGAGTCCACTTTTGGCAGGGACACCAATGTTGGTTAGACTCTGCAGATCGTTGTTTAAGGTTTGGATGACTAATCATAATCTTCTAGGATATCAAGATCTTTGGACCAATAGAAACAGAGGTATCATACAGCGCTAGAGGAGTCCAGTTTTGGCCTGAAATCCAAAAAGCGCCTTTTAATCAGACAGGGATCCTAGATTCGTCTAGGTCGTCATTTTAAAAGGGAGGATTTGGCTGCTATCGTTTATCTGACACTGGCCGATGAAGACTCTGAACTAGCGTACCATCAAGTGCGATGGAACAAACGACTAAACCGCTCACCACAACGGGAGAGACACTACTGAAGAAACAGAAAAGACAGCAGCGAAACCGTCGCGGCAATACACTCTTCAAAAAGGCATGCGAGCTAAGCATTGTTGCTGATGCCAACATCTTTCTTGGAATCCAATTTCAAGATGGGCGAATCAAGACATTCTGTGCAGACAAGACAAGCTTTTGGTCATCAAAGCTGTCGCACCTGGTACTATACTATGCGTAACTTAACCGTCAGAGCTAACTGCGGAAAATAGGATCAATATTATCCCATCCCTCAATGGAAAACCCCCAGGGATTTTCTGACCAATGATGATTCGGGAGCAAGGAAGAGAATACAACCAATCAAGAAGCAGGGTAAGCAAGGAGAATAGTGTGTAATGAAAGCCTAGCGCTCTCACATATTTATTCAGTTCGGATTTGTTGATGCTGGCCTACGGGGGGATCTTGCCATCTGGAAATTCTTGAAGAAGGGTTACATCATAATGGATTTGAACATTAACTACAAGAGTCTTAATACCAAGGCTGCTTGGTTCTGACAGTCATCATTGATAAAGATGCGCCCAATTCAAGCATCATGTACATTCATATACTCCTCTGACGCCTTCAAGAATGTAACCTGAAAATCAAGATCCGATTCTGGGGGCCTTTCCACATTCAGCTGCCGTACGGACCAGATAATCCACAAGTGGATCTGAGTGTTTAAGGGCTTCGGCGATAACATCATAGGCTTCTCGCTTGACACAAATAGGAAACCCCTGGCTAGTGCTTATCCCGCAGGCAAGAACTTTCGATAGTATTATCTGACAGCAACGTAACTTCTTCCGAGAGATTCGGCGGTAATGACCCTCTTTAGGGTTGAGAATCCGATTGCATGCCCGAACAACATAATTCACATATTTTCTCCCATAATGAGGCATGCTGATAGATTTGATGCCGGTGGAGAAGTCAAAAATGGTATTTTTATGTCGGATTTTGGGGCAACGGTACGAACGTAGTTGTAAATGAGGACTCAATCTCAGTACCCGCTGCTTCACACGATGCGATGACGGAGTTCTTGGGCGTTTGGTGTTGGTTGCTGCCATTCTTGGAAGCTTGAATCCGCTTCTATAGATGAGGTTTGCTTGAGCAGGGATGAGGTGAAAAGGCACTTTGGAATGCGCGAGGCACGCAGACAATGTGAGAGCGGAAGCACAAATGTGGTTTCTGAAAGGTGCGTAGTAAGAAGAAAAATAGAGATGTGAAAGGGTAGGTGGTAAGGACGGGGGAGAAGGGGCCTTTTTATACTTGCATTGATCCAAATTGGCCATTCCAGGACAGGAAAGATATGCAACACGTATATTGGTCTAGCTTTTCTAGGGTTTGTCGCCGTATGCATTGTACCACTGACTCACTTGCGAGACTTTCCGTGTCCGTGAAGCCTGACTAGAGAGTAAAACCTGCCGAATGAAAGGCAGCTGCGGATGATAGCAGCAGGAAACTATCCTGATTTCCAAATACCAGTGACTTGCCACCGCAGCGACGTGTCTAATGTGGCTGTATCCAAAGGCCTCTTGAATTGACCATCACTAACCGATCGTGGGTCAAATGACGCCGCGAAGGCTGTGCCTTGGTGGTACATGCAACGCTGGGTCACCAGGAGTTCAATAGATAGGCCACGAGCGGTCCAATTTGGCTTTAGTGCTGCAGCATGAAGTGAGCCTTAAGGCGGCTGTGTACGAGTCTTGAAACTGAACTCCCTCCTGCGGTGGATGCTCTGCCCGTGAGCCCGTCGTTGGTCGAGTGACTGCGTGATTATGGTGGCTGGGTGGTTTGCACCATGCTATATAAGGCCTCCTACTCTTGATCTCCGCCGGTTCTTTCCATTAACACAGATAACTCTTTCATATTTTTCAACAAAGCAAGCACCATGGAAGACTCGAACTTACTCCCACCCCTACATGACTTGTTCTTCGCTATTCCGGCCAAGGAGTCATCATCTCCGTCCGGGAGCCACAATGAAGACGGCGAGCTATTTGGAAAGCTGTGCGAGACACCGTCGACATATGACAATATTCCCATTGGTTTGAGCAGCGATGAGCTTGAAGAAACACCTTCATCCGGAAATGAAGATGATAATCTTTCGACGTATTATACCGTGACGCCATCAATGTGTGGCGAAATCCCTATTGTTCTCAGCACCAACATCTTGTCAACGGACGAGGGCAAAGAATGGAAAGATTGCTCGCCAAAATACGAAGAGTCCATCCCACAAATTGTGGTGACAACCTCGCCGGAAAATGAGACTGATCGCCTGGGCCAGAAATCAAACCGTGAAAAACCCAGTTCGAGTATCATCGGTAATAATAAACCGGGCGGCGGAAAGACAGTCGCGATGAACGAGCCCTACCTTCAGAACCCGATCATATCGCATTACCAAGATTCTGGACATCCACAATTTTGGTTGCGGCTATCGTTGTAGGAGGCCCAACTGCGGATGCCTGAGTGGCTCAAGATGTGCTGGGAGCAGCAAGAAGTGTTGAAGAAAGCGGCACCGATCAGAGGCAGCAAAGCGAGATTTCCTCTACAGGCAAGACGTTGACGACTTGTAGGGCCTTCTGACCCGGTGCTCCTGATATGTAGTTCCATTGCGTAGCGAAGTTGAAGAATGGCAATTTTCTCCCATAATTATTGTGCAGAATCCCACAGTTTTCGAGATCTTGCGAGTCAATTAGTTGGTGTATTATCCGTGCGGCAGAACAGCCAATCACAGGAACCATATAAAGCTGTTACCGCGCGTCGAAATGAACGACAAATCACAGCAGCGTCCAATGGTAATTGGCCTTTAGACCAGAAGACTCTTTTAACCACGCGGTAAAGCCCCTCGTGCGCCAAGGCAGATCGGGTAATCATGTGACCTTGGTTATGCATTTCTTTCTCCTAGCTCCGAAACTCTCAATACCTGCATATTTTCCTGTTCACGCCGTCTGGCTGAGCTTCAAGGATATGAGACACTCTGAGCAGGGTGAAAGTCTAATACAGTTATTCTCGGTCGCCGACCTCACCCACAGGCCAAGATGTTAGGAATGGCACCCTCCGCTCGAGATGAACCCGTTCGCAAACGCCCAAGATTAAGAAAAGATCCGGAAAGTTCTCCAAATATCAACTTCCAATCCCTTCCCCCGGAAGTCCGATTGATGATCTGGGAACGTACATGGCCTTCCGCACTGGTCGTCGAAGTTGCAAGCCGGGCAAAACTGGATGGTGATGAAAACGATGAGTTCATGGTATTTCGTCCTGTAAGCTCTTTTGTTACACTACTGCAGACAGACTTTAGCTCGAGGCCCGTGGAGAGTCCATCCCCATTGGAGAAATGCCCATTTCCGATCGCTCTCTGGATATGTCAAGAATCCCGCATGCATACGCTTAAAACATATGCGTTAGTCCAACATCCAGAGTTGCCGGAATGCGCTTTCTATTTCAATCCTCGTCAAGACCTTCTCTGGTTAAGTTGCGATATCGCAGATGACATTGAAGGCCTTGAAGAGCTACGGGCTTCCTATCAGACTTCCATTACTCAATTCAGGATCCTTCTTGTCGAGGATACGGAATGGGAGGACTGGCAATGGGACCCATCGTCTGCCCCAGCCCTGTCAATCCTGCCTGGACTGCGGACTGTCGTATTGATAGGGGACGACCATGATGATAATGGTACACTTATCACGTATTGTGCTGAGGAATACCAAGAACGTGCTACCAAATACGAAAATGATTATCATACTTTCTGCGAGTCCATAAATCCGGCTACGTCATATCGGCTTGAGTACATGGATCGCGGAGGCAATTCTTACCTCGGTGTATATCACAATGATGTCCAGGTGCAAGCCAAAACCTAATACCTTCGGACGCTGGATTTTATCAGGAATGTCTTAGGAGAAGAGTTTGAGGAGTGGGAGGAAACGACAATCAGCTACTTGCACTTCCAGGTATCTATATCCTTTGAACAATATACCGCATCTATTCATTCTCTATGGGAGTGTTCACGACGACAGCAAAGCTGTCTACAATGCATTTTCTCTCAAGACACATTAATCCTCACCCTCACGGTAGCGGCATCTGAGTTGATCTGCAATCATCCTTTGAACGGCCTGGTTGACGTATAGGTCCTTTCTCTGGAGCGGGTGGCCAGTCATAGGACAGGAATGGTGTTGCCGAATATACTGTTCAATGCTCGATCGGTCATACGTCTGGCCACAAGAACATAACAGGGCGGCAATAATTGGCTGGGATGTAATGGGGTCGACAAATCGAGGGAGGGGGAATGGGGGATACTCGGTGTGACCTTTGATGCGCATCAAGTCACAGGCAGCCGCATATTGTCGCCATCGGTCGCTGAGATGCTCAATCTCTCGGTTAGGATAGCATCTTCCGTATGCCTGAGAGACAGCCAGTCGGTGGAGACTTGACTGGTCGTAGGTCTCACCGTCTGGCGTGCAAGCTGCCTGAATGATAAGGTTGCCGGTCAATTGGTCAACGAGAACATCAGGGGGCTGGCAGTTCCTCGATTTCTCCGAAAGACGTGACACAGCCGTGTCAGGGGCTCGGGGAATACTGGCATCCTGACGAGGGTATTTCTCGCCTCGGCCAGTTGGACGCAAGCTGAGTGGATTACCGTCGATTTGCGCCTCCACGATCCGTCCGTGGCTGAGATGACCGTGCTTGAAAATCAACGAATCGAATGCCTGTCCTCCAGTCACCAGCGCATCATCCTGAACAATGGACCGGACAAGAAATCCTCCGGTGACCCGACTGTTGCCAGATATCTCGGAGTCGCAAGCTTGACCGCCGCTGATTTGTGCGTTGTCGGTCACAGCAGTGTCTTGAAGGGTACTGCCACCCCCTACCTGGCCATGACCTTGGATTGTGCAGCCTCGCAGCATTCCACCACTGATCCTTGCAAAGACACCAACATAGGTGTCTTCGATTCTCCCTCCTGAGACACGGCCTTCAATGATAGAGCCTTTGATGCAGCCCCCTTCGATGATTGCGTCGCGGCCAACAGTACTACCGCATAAACGAACTCCTTGAGACAGATCGATCCTTGCCCCTGGAGATATGGTTACATTTCCAATGAAGGTTGTTGACGACATCTCTCCGACAAACTCCACTCCTGGAAACCGTGATTGCAAGTTTGCAGCCATGATGTTTGCTCGGTATCTGCTGATCTCCGACTGGAGAGTAATGAGCTATTTATACAGAGCAAGGCACAGTCCCTCTAAACTCACTTGAGAGCTAGAGGTGCCTTGCAACAGTAGAATTGCCACGCTACGGGCCCGACTCATCCGTATTCTTTCAGGGTAGGGAGCTTGGACTGGGATTTTGGCGTCTGAATGGAACACAGCCAGGAATGCCTTTTGCAAATGGTCCTCGTGATGGTCCAGACTAGGTACCCTGGACCAGTCACGATTGCTGCCGCCTTGAGCCATGAAATGCACTTCGCATTAGCTGCATCATGATGTCTCGCTATCTTTCAGCCAGACGGCGGAGCCAGAGAATGTGAGCCTGTAATTCGGACCAGGTCGGAGTAGAATAACACGCTATCACTGACAAAACCTGCCATCGTCATCCCATGTTGAGCCTAGCTTCGTCACAGAAAATCGGCAATCCGACCACCAAGCATTCGTGCTAGCGTGACTCCTGGGTTATATAAAGCCTCTTGACACCCCGTGAATGAGGTCCTTCTCTTCCGTCCAAAAAAATCTTTCTTTCCATATTCAGGCACGGCCATCATCATGGAAACAATTCAACCCTCTTCTCCAGGCGAGCCTTCTCATGAAGGGAGCCAAAATCCTATGGACTCTCCTCCTTCCACGATTCCCCTAGATGAACCACAGTTTCGCGATACCGAAAGCACTGCGGGCTCCATCATTGTACTGGATGATGACGACGACCAGACTGCAGCTTCCACATCGCGACCGCGGCGTGCAAACAAAAGGCCGCTTGACTATAGCTACCGAGACTATGAACAGCTGATGGAGGCTGTTGCCGCACGCAATCCTCCACGCAGACGGAAGAGGCAGAAAAACGCCGATACGCTGTCACTTGAATCCACATTGGTGTGTTCCGTATGAATATTTCGCTTAATATTCCTTGCAGCTGACACATGCTAGGAACAATTTTCCCAGGATGTTCGGGATCAGGGCCAAGCGTGGATACAGGAGATCAAAGATCTTCGATACGCGCTGAGGAGTTTATACGAGCGAAGAGAAGACCTTGAAGAGAAGCTTCGTGCGTCAGAAGAGAAGACACAGAAACTCCAACGGGCTCTTGATGAACGAAAAAGCCTCCAGTACTTGCAGTGTCAGATCTGTTACAAGTCAAAGGAATATTGGCGCGTACTTGGCTGTGGCCATGTGTATTGTACTACCTGCATAAGTGACATGAACACGGCTGAGCCACTATTCAACTCCAACTGTCCTTGCTGCAGAGAGCGCATCGTATCCTGCAAGGCCTTATATCCAGAACTAGTTGAACATCAGATTTAACGGCAAATGAGATGTTTCGATGTCACTTGATGTATACACATTGTCATTGCATAAGAATGTCTACTTTACACTCAGATCATGAGCAGCTGTATTTTTAGTTAATTTCTCTGACGGGAATTATTAAGCTCTATTTCTGTGTCTATAGCATCCTGTACACATTGCATTTGCGCGAGGTTGATCTGTGGCTTACCTGGGAGGGTTTTCTCTTGAGCTATATCTATCGTGCGAGAAATATGTCTTGCACATAAACTCTCTTGCGCATGGTTTCCCCTATTCTAATTTCTCTCACGCAGCGTGCCCTTGGTCCTCATTTTTATGGATCTCATACGAGAAAGATCTCTTGAGCAAGACATCACTTGGGACAGATCTTAAGGTTCTTTTTTCAGTAAAATCCCTTGTGCCAGATGAAGCGGCAGATTGAAGGTAAGAGCCTCGCTACGCCTAGATCAATCGATCTTGTGCTTATCAATGTAATGGGAGATTTCCTTTCAGGGATCGGATAGCTCGCACCGGCATCAAACAAAAGTATGCTATAGGAATTAAGCTTAGCCCAAGAGGAACGCGCACTTAGAGACAAATTTATGCTATATATTTAGGCTCAATTCGTCGGTACACAAGTCGAAAAGAAGATATTGTCCTTTGGAGAATTTGACAACCAAGCAAAGACCAACTCTGCCCCGAGAAATAAAAAATGGAAGGGTGATGAAGCAAGACACAGGAACATAGAGATGATTAAACTCTAATTCATCAGATTAATAATCCACACATCTAGATTAGGGTAAATCATGCCTTGAGACAATGAACAATACTAAGGCCGTTCCTAACGATGTTTCTCGAAAATTTAAATTTCGTCGACTTGGATGGATTCTGCATGCGTAAAGAACAGAATGTGAAGGGTCAGGGCCAGCCTGGCGATCCAACAGAAGGCAGGAGAAAATCTCTAGAGGCCTAACCTCGAAGGTGGCACGCGAGAGACGGTTCCATGCACCTCCTCTGCATGAAGAAGAAGATGTCTCTTGCTTTCCATCTCCACATTGCACACATTGCATGGGACCTTCTTGCCCTCAGGCCACATGGGTTTCGCATGCTTTCGCACAAAGTGCCGGCTGAGCGATCCAGGATCATGATAGTTCCTCGTCCGCTCATGAACGGGAAGGCGAGGGTTGCCCACACACAAAAAACAGATGACGGGCCTCTCTGTTTTCTCTTTGATGAAGATGGTGTCGACCGCCCGACGGAGAGCAACAGCGTCTGCGCTCTCCGGCACCGGTTCCTTCTTATCACCGACAATGGAGCTAGTCGGAACGTACGCTGGGTTAGGGGGGGCCGGACGTAATGGCGGACCCTCTTCAACATCCCCATAGTCTATCACTGCATAGATCCCGCGGATCCTTCGCCCCAATTCCGCTTCTACCGTCGGCTCCGGTAGGGTCAAAATCGCGTCCATCAACCGCAGAAGCTGCGGGGTGATCGCCCCGGTCTGTTGAAACGCAGTCAAGACCTCTTCATCCACCACTTTCCCGGTGAGTTGTCTCTCACTGTCAATCACCGGCTGCTCGCGTTTATACCGCTCGAGATTCTCGCGCACCAGCCGGTTCTTGTGACGCTGTTTCACATTCCGCAGGAGACGAGATGCTCGCTGGTATCTCTTCTCCGCCTTCCGGTACCGACGACAAATCCGAGGGCATTTTTTCTGCTGTGCGCGCGTCGCCTTTCGTCGCCTGCAGAATCCTCGGCACTTACCCTTGAATCCAACGCCGAGCTGGTCGCGTCGCTGCCGGCGTTGGATGACTTGCTGGGCGATTTTTATCACTTCCTTCAATTTCTCCACCGATCTCGACAGCTCCGACGTTACCTTCCACGGACGGCGGGGATCAATCGAAGCACTCATGGATCGAGCAAACCGGATGAGATATTGTTCAGGCGTCAGACCGCGGGCGATAGCCTGCGCGTCCACATCGATACCCACACTGTAATGAGTGATGAAAGTCTCGATGCTCGCGTGCTGCAGCATGACGTTTTGCAGCTCCTTGCTGACGTCGGCTGAAGAGGATGTGGTTAGCTCAATTCGCCATCAGACACCGGGAACTTACGGCTATTATTGAATGCTTTCGCAGCCCCGTAGCGAAGGGCATACGGCCTCATCGGCTGTTCGAAGCCGGTGATTTGTGCCCCGCGGCGGAGCCGGTATCGCAAACTACCTCCGGAGAGCCGTTGGTCGAGGGCAATCCGAACACCGTCGCTTTCCCGGATCGCTTGGCAGAACACAAATTGGTCCAAGAACTCGTCCTTGAGCGGAAGGTCCTGTTGATTCAGCCCGTGCAGCACTCCGAGTTCGTACAATCGCTCCGGGCTGTTGACTCGCGGCGATTTGAACGCCTTGAGCCGGAAGAGCATGCCCAGGAGAAAGACATGAGGACTGAGGACCAAGGTCGGGTCGAAGAGAATCTCCGGGATTGAGAACGGGTCCCTGGGGTGGTTAGCAGACATCGGGATTAAGAGTGAAATGGACACTTACTGGGGTTTTTTCTCGAGAAACTGCTTGGTCGAGGAGAGCGTCAGGTCAATCAGTAGCCGCGGACGGTCATTTTTTGGATCTCGAATCAGACGGAGGTACAGGTCCCGATACCGAATGTTCAGCAGCGCCTCCGGCCGGCTGCCGGTGATGGCGGCGAGTTGACAGAACAGAAGGAGTTGGATCCGCTGCCATCCGACCTCAAAGGTCATCTCCCTGGTGGTCAGCAGCACCCGTGCAAACTCCGCGAGGTCTTCGATGTACATAATGGGTTTGGGACGCGGACCGACTCGAAGATCCTTCTCTTTGGCCACGATGGCAATCACCTACATGTAATGGTTAAATTCTGACCATTCACTGTCTCCTAAACGCATCGCTCACATCGTTGATCTTTCTCAGGGCCATCGGGTCCAGCCCGTGTCCCATTTCCCTCTTGTAGACCAGATGCCACCATTTCCAAAACGTCTCCAGCGAGTCCTGGCTGCGGATGCCGGGGCATCGCCGGCCTCCCTTTCCGTGTCGTCGGTCACATCGCCATTTCAAAAAACCGTACATAAACCGAGCGGCCTCGTCGGGATCCTCGAGTGTGCGAAAACATTCATCAGGGTTCTGGTGGGTAAATCGACAGTAGCTAGAAGGAGAACGTCAGTGGAATAAAGAGCGTCAGTGCCGGGAGATACCTGAACCTACCGGTTCCAATAATGCTTGGTGTCTTCCAGCTTCTCTCGGGTAAGCGGGCTATATCGCTGTTGCCGCAGCTGCGAGACGTCGAGATTCTCTGCCGCCGCCAGGTAGTATTCGGGGCCGTATTGGACCTCACCCTCCATCCGCATGAGATCCTCCACCTCCGATTCTGAGCCGGATTCATCGCTATCACTGTTGTCCGACTCCTCGTCCGAGAGGCTGCTGTCTGAACTGTCCTCGGCGGGGTCCGTCGAGAATATGCTCGGTGAGCCTGCGCTGGCGACGCTCTCATGGTCCGAGATGACCATGTCACTACCGTCATCGGTCGTGGTCATCGTGAGAAGTGAATATGTGACGGCCAGCCAAGTGAGAGATGGGAGCGTCTGGGAGGAGAGGGCGAAGGACGGGAACGGAGGGGACGAGGCCTGTTATAAGCCGAAGGGGGGAGGGTAAGGCGAGGCCAGGTCTGAGACAGACCGGGGAAGCCCATGGAAGAGTGTGGACGAGCGACGCCATTTTCGGCTCCCTCTGGCTTTGAAAACTGTGGTGAACAGAGCAGTGCAGCGCGGACAGGAACAGGCAAAAGCGCAACAAAGACGGCGCGGTCGAGTGGGTCCACGGGCTGGGTTAAAACGGCGTGAGAAAACGGTTGTGGCGGCAAGGCGCGGGTGCGTGGCAGCAACGGCCGTCGCACGTGAGGGACGGCTTGGCGGTTAGTGAGCCTCGTAGAGCGGCATTAGATGTGACCCTTTTCGGCAACACGCTAACCGGATGAACGTATAATTAAGTATTTAATGTGCCGGTTAGCGGGGCGCACGTTTCGGCCGCCGGCCAACCAGAACGCGGAACGGAAAAGAAATTCCCCGATCCCGTTTAGCGTTGGGCTGTGGCAGTAATGGGGTTGCCGGATTCGGCGTAGCGGTCCGTCTCGCCGCTTTAACGGCGGCCGCCCCACCGGGCGAGGCCTATATAAGCTGCGAGTGCGTCCTCGAACGACGACCGTCACTTCCACGTCCGTTTTTTATTTTCCCCTCGAGCTGTGCAGCGGTCTCGCGTTCCTGTGCGCCGCCGGGTGAGACGGCAGGGGAATCGTCGCTCTCAGACCTCGCTGGCGCCCCCCTATTTTTTCAACGATCCACTTTGTGCCTGCAGCGCCAGCCCTCTCTTCATACGACGATTGACTACTTGTTGCACGAATGAAGTCGAACTACGATCCGGCCAAATCTATCATGACGGGGTTTTGCGTCTTTGAACATGAATACATATATGAAATGACTATCGAACCAAAATGAGCCGTTTGCTTCCTCTGCTCGTCTTAACGAGGCAGAACTCCATTCAGCGCCTGCTTCGTTTCCCCAATTCTCGCCACCGGAAGATTTTGGCCACACAAGCCAATAGCCCGGTCGATTGATCCGGTGACTCGATGACGGCTTTTAGGCAGCCGGAAATCAGCCACTCCAGTCCTCGTCCGTTTCTGTGTTGTCACGCCGCCATGTCCGTATGCTAGCGCATAGTCCACTGCTACAACGTAATCCTAGCAAGAGAGACCAATGGCAAAAATACCGCATTGTTCATTTGGAAGGTGGGTGACGTCTTCATTCAGCCGGAAATCCAGGGGTTTCATCCATTCTCCAATGACACGGCTTGACTCATCCATCCATCACGGCAGCGGAAGGGCAATTCGAAAGATAACGCAGTCATAGATGGGGTCGGCATAGCCTCGATTGTGGATTGAAAATGGGGCTGCTGGAAAATGAATGATACCTTGATCGAAGACGAAATACGAGATTAATCAATCCACTCTGACTCTCACAGGCTTCACCAATAGGAAGCTGAATCTGAGACGTCCAATAGACAGATGCGGTCCGCACTGCCTCGATTGTGGGACAAAGGACAGCCGAACGCGAGGATAGACTGTGTTGGATGCGCTACCGAGCCGTGTCTCATTTTTGAGCTGCAATTTCTGTTCGTTAATTGGAGGGAAATACACCCACCGATGACGACGACTGCATTGGCGTTGCTACGGTCTTATCTCCATGAATGTGCCAGTGGTTGAGGCGGCAAGAGCGGCTCACCGATTCGAGGAGAAAGAGCAACGATCCTTTGAGCTGTTGCACCGCAAAATTGGGTATATATATCCTTACAGCGCGCGGCCTGAAGGATGGCACCAGTTCCTTTTGCTACAGACTCCCTGTTTGCACGCCATCATGGCAGTTACCTTGAACAATATCAAGTTTTATCATCCGCCTTCCCTCCCTGCCCGCCCAATGAAGAGCACATATCCTAATCATCAGCACCCTTCGTTTTCTCATCACTCATCAGGAAAACCCGATCCTACCCCTTCGACGCACTCCAATTCCCCCTTCCCCTCGTTCTCACAACCACTGCTGCGTCACTCTCTTCCTCCCCGTCCACCAACTATTGTTCCCTCCAGTCGTTCCGCATCTGAGACTCTACACATTTCATCCAAATTATCTTCAGCCAATTCTCTTCCCGTGCACGAGAATGATTTCGACCGAGCACTGGATGAATTCCTTTCTGCTAAAAATGGCAAGGAAAATAGCGATCGAGAGTCGCCGAATCGTGTCTCTACACAAGGTAACTCCTAGATCACGTGGCTAGTCTGTTCTTTACTAAGTGAGTAGAACAAGGAATTGACGACCTTCTCCATGCGATTTCGCCTGATCCAGAGAAGTCAAGTCAAGTGGCTGCTGACTTGCCGTCGTCTAGCATCACCGCACAAAACCCCCTAGAGTCACCGGCGGACGGGAAGCCTACGCAGCCAATCACAGGAGATGAATCACAGCCACAGGAAGAGCTCAATAATCTCGCGTCCGCAGCATCAATGGATCCATCGCCGGAATTCTGCACGTCTGCACCGCATACATTAACGTCTAGTGTGACCAATGCTGATTCGACGGGTACGGCCATACAGGACCCCGCACCGGAATCGTCCATTGTCAATCGAGAACCTTCAAATACTCCGCGTTCAAGCAGAGTTCGGAATCACAGCTCAGAGTCCGGCAAAAGCTCCCAGAGAAATGAGAGCACCGACTTGCAGGGAGCTTCAGGAGATTCACAGGGCGCCAGTTCATGTCAATTAGGGGAATCATCAGATCGAAAGAGAAGTCCGTCAGCGCGTTTGTCCTGCCCGTCAACTCCGCTGGTCGTGAGCCCAGGTCCGTCTCGTTCCGTTTCATTGCGGAGAAAGTCCTGTCGGCGGGCCTCTGGTTATTCGCACGGCTCCGATTGGATCGCCGAAGACTCTCATGAATCGGACTCGGCTCCCTCTGATGATGAGAACGACATAGACTACTTAGATACCTCCGAGATAGAGGAAGCCGGCGAGAGCTTGCCCCCATCTAAGCGTCGTCGGAGAAGTTTGGATGAATCTTCATCCACTTCTCGAGGAATACCCAGACAGTTATCTGCCGAGCCTCCACGTGCTGAGCGGCCAGAGTCACCGCCAGAATATTTGAGCGCAGAGAGTGAGCCGATTCCCGTCCAAGGTTTCCTCCGATTACGATCTAGTGGAGCCGAGGTCAAGTACTGCTTAGAGCTGTCACAGACGGATTTTTCGTCATTGTTCACAGGCGGACAAAGAGAATCTCGGCCACGGCAGCGGACAGCTCATTCCGCGAGAAGGGCTCGATTCACGCCTGAGGAGGATGCATGCATTATTGCTTTAAAGGCCAAAGAGCTCAGGTGGGATGAGATCGAGGATCTATTTGCGCAGCGATTCCCATACCGAAAAAAATTGTCCCTGCAGATGCGCTATTATACTAAATTGAAGGAGTCAACGAACGAAGCATGACGAGAGGGGTAGGCACATCATCGTAAATTAGGCTAAAACAACTGAAGCAATACCTTCTTGCTTGTGAGCCACATACACCACCAGATCGTTGGCAGACAAGTGTAGGCAAATGGAGGAATGTATATTTGCTATCTTCATGAGTAATGTCAAGGCGTTGCAAGGCGTTGCCTTAACCAGTTAATTTCAGTACCGTATTTCATGATCGACAGCCACATCCTAAAGTAATGACTCGTTGTATCTCACGCCACTATGGATACAAACGAGGTATGAGAGGGCAGCTAGTTGACTAGGAAGAAAGACGAGGCAGAGGATTATCCGGTATCTTCGGTTTACGGATGGATTGCAGATCAACAATCAGCTAAGAACAACCCAACCATGTCTTTTACCGAATTATAGTAAACGTGGGACCTGTGAATTACGCGATGCGGTTAGTCTTGCCGCCTGGGGCCTAGTCCTCCCGTACGCCGTATCGTCACGGCGGCCCGTGCCCGCCGTCAGGTATAAAAGCCCCGTCCCCTCGCTGTTTTAACCTCGTCCCTTCCACGTCTGCATTTTCCCCTGGAACATCGCCCTCGCCGTTGCGCCTCTTTGGTCGGTGCTGACTCCTGCCAGCGGCCGCCCCCACTATGTTGGCACCACCGTCGGAAATTGCGGTGGCGCCATCGAGCCATGTCCCCGCTGCCTTGGGTCACTCGAGATCCCTGTGAGCTGGCATGGAAGCTGATGCAAGGTCTTCATTGTCCCATCGTGAATTGTCTTTTCCTTTCACTTCGCTTCAGCTTTGATTTCTGTTCTGTGCTCCAGTAACCCCCCGTTCTGCGCTCGATGCCGCGGCTTCTGGCTGTTCCTTCGAGATACCGGTCCCATCGATTCTCCCACCCCCCTACAGCAAACCTGTCGCAGCAGACCTGTCGATCTTGTGTGTCGTGTCCGCCGACGGAGAGTCCAGCTGACGACGACGACGACGATATTGCTTCAGGGTGAAACAAAGCCAATAGCATAAATACCTCACGGGTGATCGGAGATTTGTGCCGTGTCAAAGGACCGCCATCATTCTGTTTTTCTGGCCCTCGAAGGTCGACGTTTAGCGCCCATTGGTGGCTGACACCGAATTACTTCATCACGGGGCCCGATCGCTCCTCGCTTGTAGCCTCGGCGTCGAGCGAAGGCCCTATCGTTTCGGATGGCGCAGAAGCCACTGCTTCGATCAATGCATGCCTATACGGAAGACACTAATGGCGAAAATACCGCATTCTCCGGGCGGATTGCGTGAAGGCCGTGTTAGCCGATGACTACGCCTTCGTGGAGGAGATACGAGGACGTTGATCCACTGTAGGCGCCAATAGGACGGCCTAGTTCATGCGCGATAGCAGCCGATGTGCGATCGAGAGATGGCAAGGTCATGGACTTGGTCAGCACTGCCTCAGCGGTGAACTGAGAAGGGAATTGGGAGCGAGCGCGAACCGTCACTGTGCCGTGTCTCAATTTTGAGCTGGAACGGGCGTTTCCTGATTGGATATCATCTAGCCCGTCAATGACGACGACGACAACTACGACAACGACGACTACATCAGCGATGTCACTGTCTCATTGCTAAGGAAGGCGCAAATAGAAAGGGTGTGTGGCCAGAGCCGGTATTCAAGCAGAAAAAGGCCGGTTTCGCTCGCAGCGGTTATATCCAAAAGATGGGTATATAAGCCCTCTTGGGAACGCAGCAGAGGAGTGTGTTGATCGAGATTCTCACTCAGACCATATTTCTTTTCTCTACAAACCCCCGACTTACACTGCCGCCGTGATCATGGCTGGTACCTTGTCAAAGATTCAATATCAATGCCTTCCCCATCCGCTCCCTGCATCCCCAATAGAGAACATATCCCCTGGTGAATACTTCTCCCGAAAAGCCGATTCAATCCCGTCCCTGCGCCCGAATTCCCTCACCCCCCTTTTCTCACAGCCAGCAATCAGGATTCACCACCCCCTCCCGCCGCGTCCACCGGCTGTCGTCGCCTCCAGCACAACTGACAGAATCAATGGCCATTCCCCGTACTCCAAGGACTATGGCTAAGCATCCAATGCCCCCTTTTTTGCGACAGGAGGAGGAAAAGATGAGAATGGAGAGTCCTCGATTTGCGTGCCCGCCAAAGGTACGTACCCCTTCCCCCAGTCCTTGCGGTCAGTCCGTGTCCATTCTCAGCTTACACGAAACAGAATACCGCGATCAAGACCACGATCAAAACCACCCTCATGAAGCCTTCCCTGATCAGCGTAGTCCATGGCAAGCGACAACCATGGCGGCACATGTGGATCCCACGGCGTCCACGAACCCATTGCTGGAAATCTGCATGTCCGGGTCCCGTGCAGCGCCTGTTGACTTCAGTCTTGACTCGGCCCACCGGGCAACGGAGTCCTCGGAACAGCAACTATCTTCGGTTGATCCTCAAGTGTCAATTCTGGGCAAATGGAGCTCGGAAGCATATTCTCAACGTCCGCAACGGCAAAAGGATTGACTCGCAGGAGGTTCTTGGAGATTCGACGCGTGCCACCGCAGGTCCGTCAACAGAATGGTCGCAGCGAAAGCGAAGTCCATCAGCGCGCGTTTCAAGCCCGCAGACTCTGCCAGTCGTCGTTCCAGCTCTGTCTCGTTCGACTTAGTTGCGGAGACCACCTACTCGGCCGGAGCCCAGTCCTTCTCACCGCCCAGATCCGATCGACGAAGTCGGTCATGAAGCTTCAGGTATGCTTCTCACTTCCTGCAACTTGACCTTGGATTATCCTAACAACGTGCTGGCAGCCACAAAACGAACCGCTCCCCACCATGATTCTTACAATAGCCCCGTTGGCAGATTGATCGGTGAGGGCCGAGTGCGCTCGCCCGGCCTTTTCGCGATAAGAAACGATCATGACGGCGGTGGATACGGTACGGATGACAGCGGTTCTGCCTCTGCCTCTCGGGGTAGCATATTCTCGCGTCAATCAGAGAAGCGATACTCCGGCAGCGTCACTAGCGGCGAGGGACCTTCGCCTAATAGTCTGGTGGATCCCGGTGCTGAGCAATCGGGCTTTTCAAGGGCAGCCGGTGGCCAGTCGTAACGGAATCTACAGACTAGTTCAGATGGAGGTTACCTGGGACGAAGTAGCCGCGTGCCCGCGGAGTCTCCTTCTGTGGCGTCTGTATCGAGGCAGCTCGGTTCGGAGATTGAAGATTCCGAGTCCGCCTCTGATACCGATGATGCGGACCACCATTCAGGCGATGGCCGATGGCAGTACCGTTGTATTCTGAAGCGTCGATTGGATTCGTCTGGTCGCAGGATGGCGTTGGTTCGGTGGGAGGATACATGGGAGTCGGAGGACGAGCTGGGTGGGGTGAAGAGGGCGTTGCGACAGTACGCACGGGCACGGCAGGCGAAGCAAGTCCCAGCAACGGAGACATGTTCGAAACGCAGGGGAAGAAAGCGCAAATGCCCTTCGTAAAACGCTGCTTCGACATTTTATCTTTCAGGACGAAAAAGCACAAATGCCCTTAAAACGTTTTTCCTTGAACTGCGCCCTCGTAAACATAATTTTAAAGAATCGGACGGACAACTGGGAGCGTAACATAGATAGTATGACAAAGTCAGATAAACAAATTTGGAAAAGGACCCAGGTATTGGCAGAAAAATGTCGCTAAGGTGGAATGTTCTTCCGCCTTCTAAATAAGCAACGATAAATTGTTGCCCGAATATCATAACAGCTATCGCAAGCCAACCCAGGCAGCCATCTTATGAAATAACCCCTTGACATCTCTCCCCTTATCAGCGAATTCAAACGAGGAGCGAGAGAGGCGGCCAGGTTCTATCAGAGCATTGGCAATGAACTCCTCTTTTGTCATCTTCCCGCTGTCTACAAACGCTTTTTCCTTCTCCCGCTTTTCCAAGGCGTCATCGTACTCATCTAGCTGGCCCACCTTCCACGTTGCGAAGACATCAAGCGCTTTTGCGTTATCAAGTTCTTCTTCGTACTTCGTCCATTTAGAAGCCCCCAAGTGTCGGCGCAGCTGTGTAAAAGGAAAGCTGCGATGGTCATTAAAGCCGGATGAAAGGAGCATATGCAACCACATGGCTCCGGAAGTTTGCGACCACTTAACAAGGCTAGAGAGCTCCCTCTCTTCATTCCCTGGTAATTTTGCCTCCTCTTCCTCTAAAATATGTATGAAAACCTCCAAGTATTTGAAGTACCGGGAAGCAATCTTGGGCGGTTCATCACCATTGTAGTCCCAGGCACTATTGACAGGTCTGTCTTGAAGGAGCCACCATGGTGCCGAGGCGAACAGCTGAGCAGGTCCGATATATGACCATTCAAGATCTACTACTCCAACGATAGTAAGGTCATTCTTCCCTCGGACAATCAGATTCGCCAAGCCGAGATCATCACAGATCAGCTTAAACTTGCAACAGTCATACTTCTTATGGACCAAGTCGCTTGTCAAGGCTTGCAGGACCTTAAATGCCATATATTTGTTTTTAGCATCATATAAACCAAAAGTTGAGTTTGGTTGGTGAATAAGCTGCTCCCAGTCCTGTCCGGTAATATATTGAAAATACTCAGTCGTCGTTGCAAAGCCCTTATCTCGATCACCTAGGAGCCACAAAATTAATCAGTGTATTAGCAAAGAGGTAGGTTCATGAAACACGAGTCTTACCGAAGGTGTCAACTCCTCCATTTTGTAGGATGCTATGTGCCTTGAATGTTAACGGGCGATTAGGTACAACGTTTTGGCGTTCAGCATTTGGTGATGGTAAACTGCCGATTTGGTCAAAATCAAGCTTGAAGAGCTGAAGCAGGAAATTCGCGAACTGCCTATAGATAACTTCGATATCGCTATCGTCGATGTCCTCTCTTATAAGTCTGGTGGGTTGCTCAGCCTGAGGATCCTTGAGAAGGTCGCTGAGGCTCACACCATGAATGAAATCCATCATGATGAATGGACCAAGACCAAGTGGGTTGCTAGCAGTGGGACCCCATGCCCGGACTTCTGGTACGGGAATGGTAGTCCTCTTGCGGATAAGTTCTAGGGCTGTCACCTCCATGGCAACCTTCTCATCGGCATAGTGGTCGCAAACCATCCCCACACGAGGGAAACGAACCATCCAAGCAGAGTTGTCATTAAAGACCATCTTCATGCCGGCATTAAATGCGCCATAATGAAATGTACCGTCGAGTTGACAGGGACGTTTTTCGGGATGGAAAGTCGACACCCACTTGCAAAGATGGCCTGTTCTGTGGGTCTCGTTCACTTTGTCGACCCAAAGTTGGCCCTGCATCTCGTGGACAAGATCGATAATGGCGTTGGTATCCATAACGTCAGAGGAAGCTTCGACATTTGACACCGAGCACTGGGGTAGAAACAGCAAAGAAGGGGCTACGACCCGTTTATAACCAGTTGGCTATGCAAGATCGCTGCTCGCATCCTAAAAGTGGGTCAATTGGCCGAGCTTAGTCAGAACTCGATAAAGACACCAATATTTTTTTTAGGTTAGCTATACGTAGAACTGATGTACATTATATGAAGAGTCTCTGAGGAGTAGACCTAAACGATTAACCTACTTAAATATACACCTCTTGTTGAGATTCAGCGCGGACTCTGAAACGACCTTTTACAACTTGATCATATCGTTCGACGCTCCAAATATCGATCTGCAGCTACACATTGTTTACAAATTGCTAGGAGATGCGTGGCACCCCCTAACATCAATCTCCTGAAAATACCAACAAATATTAAGTTCATTCAAGTAAACCATCGCAGATTGTACATAAAGACAAATAACGATTATGGAAAGAAAAATCGACCTCAACTAGAAGCACCGTCCTTCTGTTATACATAACTATCAGTATATATGAATCAGGAGGCTTGGGCTTCTTGGCACGAACAGTGGCCTCTGCCTTCTCCTTGGCAGCCTTTTCTTCAGCCTCACGTTTCGCTCTCTCCTCTTTGTTCTTGCGACGCTTCTCAACAGAGGAGTTTGCTGTGTCAACTATCTGTCCGACGGCGACGCTACCGGAGTTAATAAGCGCATCGTTGACTGCTTTTCTAGCACTGGGGTCGGTGCCAGACATCGTGGGTGGACTTGGAATGATGAGCGTGATGTTGTTGTCGTAAGTTTAGCTAAGGTCGGTGAGTTTCAGTATGATGGATGTCTATGGCAAATAAATATGGTCTGGAGTCGAGGGAATTGATCAGTTGTAGGGTTTGGCGTCTTAAATATGTGTATTGGGATGGGAACACATCTCGCTCTTGTAGGCTGATTTGCAATCTATGAATCCGTAAGAAGGGCGGGATTTTTTCCTAGCTATACAAGCCATGCATAACAACGCAGCACATATTACGCTAGCTAGTTGTACTCAAAGACGTGATGACGTCTTCCTCTGGACAGACCAAATAGCATCTCATGCAAGTACGCAGGCGCTATTTCAACCCCTCTTTGATAACCTCCAATGAAGTCCGCCTGCGGGTCACTAGTATTGTCTTCACTGCTTAGCCGCTTTGACTTCAACGTCCATAAGCGACGCCCAAGAGGAATTATAGCTCGATATTACGCAAATGCATGCATGCATAGGACAGCGCTTACTTTTATATGTATGAGAAGCTCTTGACAACACTATTGGTCTAGGGCTAGCTTTTGCTAATCTCTTCACACAGACATGGTAGCGGGAACAGGCGTTGCCATTGGTTCGGTGGAAGCTACTAGGGCTGGACGGAGTGGAATGGAACGGAACGGAACGGAATAGGACAGAATTATGAAACCTAGCCAATCAAAGGCAAGCATTGTAACACTTAATGCGTCGCGAATGATGATAATATATTCTGTTCTATCCCGTTCTGTTTTGTTCCGTCCCTTCCTTCTCTAACGCTTTCCATGTATCAATATGAAATCTGTTAATGATTTTACAAATTTCTGCGCAAGACTGGAGCGGTTTATTCTTCTTTTTGAAAGCGGAGACCCCGATCCCTTAAGCGTTATCCAAAAAAAACAGTTGAATGCTTGGAAAGCTTTGCTGAATAATGAATCAACCGGAAAATCGAGGACACAGGTACATGTACGAACAGCTGCACTGAATTTTGCGTTGAAAATCCGTCGAACTGCAGGCGATGAGACCCTCTTTCTTTGCATTCTCATATATGCTATCTCGAGTGTTCCAAAGATTAACTACCCGACGTTCTACGCGGATCTGAAGAAATGGTCAAAAACCATGCATTTCCCAGAGTCGCTACATGATCAAGCCTCTAGCCTTTGGAATAAATCAGGCAACCGACCGAGTGTGCAGCAAGAAGCCAACACACATCATCTATCTTCTGGGATGACAGTTCAAACAACTGGTAGGTAAAATTATGCATCCTGATCTATCCAGACAAAGGTCTAATATTAATTATCAACAAGAAGCTCAGTTACACGAAGGCGATGCTCATATTCGAAATCCGACAACTACCATCAACGAGATTGAATCTCGTATCGCACCAAACAAACCACTTGAAATGGCCTTTCTTGTGCCCCCCAATTTGCTTGATGCTTTCTACAAGCTGCACAAGGATTCGCTGGCTTCTCAGCAACATTCTGCGATCCTTACGATTCCCACCCAAGATCATGTTGCGTCACTTGTCCTGTCTATTCCGCGAACAGAGGCAGTATTGGAAAGCGACAAGTTCGGCCTGCCCATGATATTCAATTCTGAGTCTCCTTCAGTGTAATCGATTTTGTATCCACCATCATCGCCTCAAACGCACAATCCTTCGGGACTTTGCCTATAAATGTACCATCTGTGTCATATACATCCCATATCTTGGTAGTGGTGCCCGCTTCGTATACCCTAATGCAGCCTAGGAGCTTTCTCGATTGCTGAGGACGGAAAACGATTAGACGGTCAGCTGGGTGACCTGGTATCAATTTTACCGTATACGACGTCCATTGGCTGTCAACTTCAATTTGGGATTCCTGAAATTGTGCGTCTAACTGAATACCGATCAATCAGAACAAGCGAATCTATTTAAAAAGGAAAGAAAAAAAAAGGGTAACGAACCTCTCTAGCCTTCTTAAAAATCTCGTCATCTTCCTCCGTGCTCAGTGATATCTTAGAGTAGAATCGAGTCGCAGCCATTGTGGCTGTCATCGACGTGCAAAGGCAAATTCTTATAGACCGGTCTTCGTTAATTCTCTTTGTAGTGAAGTGAATAATGTAGATGATGTCTTCGAAAGTAAAATTTAACTCATTCCCGAAGATTTCCCCGGATGTGGTTGACGTGGGGCGAAGCCCCTCCTCGCACATGAGAGACTCATTATTTGGGCACCAAGAATGCCTAATAACCTCACACACTGCTAAATGACTGACCTCGACAAGATCATTTTTTCTTGTATTTCAAAAAGGTATCTCAATTTTTAAAACTAATGGTATGATAGCACAATCGGAACAAAACAGCAGTACAGAAGATAACAGAACAAGATGGAACGGAATGAAACAGAATGAAACAGAACAGAACGGAGTAGAACAATTAAAAAGGCAACGTGACGTAGTGTGGCCACGATCATAGATGCAGAAAAAGAAAAGAGAATCAAAGATAGTCTAATGAAGCTTGCGCCAGTCCAGGCACGCTGATCTTGAGTCATGATAGGATGGAACGGAATGAAACAGAACAGAACGGGACAGGACAGAACAGGAAAGTGTAGAACAATTAAAACGGCAGCAACGTAGTGTGGCCACGATCATAGATGCAGAAAAAGAAAAGAGAATCAAAGATAGTCTAATGGAGCTTGCGCCAGTCCAGGCACGCTGATCTCGAGTCATGATAGTCGAATTTGTTAATCTCAGGGGCATCGTCTTGGCCATACGCTGAATGACCAGTGCTGAAAGAGGCAATATAAAACCTATCATAAAGACCAAGATATCTATAAAGTTGCCAGCCTTGTCCCAGGTTCACCGCAATTCAACACAGACCACCTCAAGTCACCGTTTTTGGGCCATTAATCAGCTCGACTTCATTATTCCCCTGGATAATGGGCAGAGGTTTTTACGATATCACCGGTGTAAAGAAGCCTAGCGAACCAAGACCCTCCGAAGCGCATCCCCGAGCTCGCCTCATTTCAATACGGACTGCTTAGGCGGTTTTCAAACTCAGCTCAAGGACCAGGGTCGCACGGGCGATATGTCCTGCTTTCCATCATCATGCTTCTGGGGCTGGTGGTACTCATTGAGGTATCCGTCTCTGCCTCAGTGGCTCCTACCCTCCTTGAATGACAAGCCTCCGTTGGAGAATGACCCTGTTAGTATCTCCAGTCTAATGCGTCTTCCCTGCTGTATCTGTCGTCTGACTGTGTACAGGAAGACGTAACCCCGGAAATCGAGGCAAACACTCTTCCCTATAATGAGATTATTGCGATATATCATGGCTATCGGATGGCCACTATCAATTTTCCTGGTCAACGACTGAAAAACGAAATCCCTATACTTGATGTCTTTTGCAGAGCCTTTGTATGTCTTGATCATTATGAGATTGAAGGGTATGGACAAGTTCCAAAATCTGCAAAGGAAAGAATCTTGGTTTTCTTCTTCTACAATCAATGGAAAGTGTGGGTGTCTATTCCGTACCTAGAGGCGAAACGTCGCGTTCCTCAACTACCTGAGCTTCCTCTCGCATGAGAGTCTGAGACTCTTCCTACCTAGCTAAACTGTTCTTATGATAGATCTAACTGTATCTTAACAGGGGCATTAAGGCGGTATTCGCTTCGCTTTGATAGTATTAAGTGCATATTGTAGAATTTGAGCTATTCTGATCCGTAATGCATGTAAAGCTGCTGGCTTGGGCCTAATACCTAGGGGTTTACAGCTAGTATTGCATCTGGAGCTCCCAATGAAGTGCTATATTTGCTTTTCATCGCTAGTACTAGCTGCATGTCGCAAATTGCAGTCAAATCATTTACCTTGAGTCATGGTAGTCGAACACTCCCATAATGGGAAAAAGCGCTACAGCATGTCGAGCCGTGCCTCAATAAAATTATAAAGCATGAAACCGCCTGGATAAGTTGTTCATTCTTTCTTACAAGATACCCAGTGTTGACAATCCTAGAGACAGACTGAGTAAGTTAAAACGCTCATGCGGATCGTAGTGCTGGAACTAATGTTTGTATTAGGCTCCGTGATTATGGACAAGAACACCACAGAAGCAAGATCCGGTCGACTTCGAATCCCTAAGGACACCAAAGCCGTTCCGCGGGATGATCCTAACCTCGAGCTGCTCGACGGTGAACTCTCTGACACTGATCCTCGCAATATGAGTCCACGGCGGGATGACACCTCTACCGAACGGGTTTCTGAGGAAGCAAAGCAGACACTACAAGCCGAAAAAACCAAAATCAGTCGTACGCTTTCCGATTTGGACATAACGTTGACTGATGCTTTCGAAGATTTGGAGAATCTGGAGAAACGAACCGGAAATATCAACCAGAAACTCAAACAAATGATTGAGCAGTCAGAGAAGTCAGAGAAGTGAGCGATCTTGTCAATGGGTTATTGATCAAAAGTACTATTAAAGACGGAATGGTCAGCGAGAATTTGAGCTATCTGTTCCGTATTTAGATCGCGGCCTAGTTTCGTCAAATAAATGAATGATATTAGAGGTCTAGGCAATAGAGTGACATACTGATCCCCCTAGTATTAGTCTGAAAAGCTGCATTTGCTCTTCACTACTGCTAGGTGCATATGCAGAGCCTAGGGTATCGTAGCCCCGCTTCTTCATTGTACGCAAGTATTGAAACTATGCCGCCTAGGCCCTACAATAACTAGTTCTATGGAGCCATGATATTGATAAAGCCACCAGAAAAAGCAAGCTGAATCTAGACAGCCCAAATGGGATACTGGCTCTGTTTTTCCTTGGCAACTCAGCTGCAGTAGTTTCACTACACTTGGAATGAAATTTAAGCGAACAGATATAGATCTATGTAGCGGTGGCTCGGTGGAATAAGAGCCTACGTCAGCTTGCTAAGCAAGGCCCTATAATATAAATAGCTGTTGTCTTCTGCTGTCAGTCTACCCCCATACACTTTACTTCTCTCAGTGCAAAGTACTTGGCATACCATGGATGGTCGACGTCTTTCACCACTGCCTTCTGACAATCCTCAGCCAGATTATTTCGAGGAGCCAGGAAAACAATCTCCCCGTCAGTACATCATCATTCCCAAGCGGTGCTAGTAATCAAAGATGCTAACATGGACAATAGAATATGCGCATGACGGAGAAATTCCCATTCATGGGGAGTCACAACCCGCTCTACATTCGGACCTCGTCCCGGTAACCTCAGATGAATCCGGATCCAATGCTCAAGGTCAAAAACGACGAACAAACGCCGAAGCATCGCGAAGGTATCGTGATAAGCTAAGCGATCTACGACGGAAGATTTACACCTTGAAGCAGTGGATTACTGAACAGAATGAAGATCCACAAGGTCCAATCTCCAAAGAAAAAAGACCCGATAAAATGAGTACCTTAGAATTAAAGAAGGAGTCTTCCTTTCTGCAGTCAAGAGTTCGGGCAATCTTTATTCGCAAGTTACAAGTAGAATCTAAATGGGAGCCGTGGATGGATTCATTGACACTCCGGGAACTGAGGAACAAAGCGTCCGAAACGATTTCACGTGGGTTTGCAAACGGCGATGCATCCTTCAGCGAGGAAGTTATGAACAACAGAGAGAACCGATAACTTGGTAGGATGTCCAGACACAGGACAATATTATGCATGCAACTGATTTGATTTGAAGAGACCGAAAGAACCATGAGATAATCGACGGTTTTATCCCTTTCTTTCCGATACAAGGGACAGATCCATGGTCACTCGTACAGCGAAGATTTTTGATCGAATAAGGGACGAAGTGTTAGCAATCAAGTCTGTAGCTAGTGTTGGTGTCTTCTAGTCAAGGGTCAATCGATTGTTTTCCGGCTGAAAGCTACAAAAAGCAAGTTCATGCGCCTTGAGTCTAGACAATGAAATAAATCCTAGGTGTCTGAGTCGCGTATGCGCCCACCTCTTCTAGTCGTAAATTTCATGGTGACAACATGGCACGGCAGCCTCGCGTTTGATGTACGACTCTGCAGGCAGTGTCGAACGTAATCTGCATCGATCTAGACCCGTCGAGGGACAAAGATTATAACTGTGCTTAGCAAGCTCCGCAACTCACCGCTGATTGATCAAAATGCAGGTTGTGTTGCACTGCCATGGTAGGTGAAGCAAAGTATGCGCCAAAAAGCTGCTGTCACGGGTATAAAAGAGTGCATGTTTCCCTCAACTCTCTTTCTTCATTATACTGCATCTTCATAGCAACAGATGAAATACATTTGAGATTTCTCCTTTCTGACAAACCTTGCAATATGTCGTTCAACTTTCATGCTCGTCAAGCGCTTCCGCATGCTCCGGTGACCACGCCTAGTCCGCCATTAATGGTCAGAAAGATTGAAAAATTGCTCTCTGACATCAAAAGAGAGTCTCAATCGCCGCCTATTACGAGACACCGATTGGAGCTTCTACTGGAGACTTTCCAAGATGAGCAACCCAAGCAAAAAAAGGTGACGGAAATGTATGTCTTCCCTCGCTCTTCTATATCTTCTGGCTGCTCACACAATAGCAGTTGGGACAAGGACATATCGAAGTACAAAATCGTCGACTCGGTGGAGCCGGAAACTGACAATTGGCGCGACTATACGTTTGTTGTTCGAGAGCACATCGGTATGTACCACGAGCCGGAGTGAATGATAAAATCTCACACGGTTCCAGAACAAAAATCCAAAGTATCCACAACGTACGTCGACGTTAAGGCGGAATATCTGCGAGATATCTTGGCAGAGATACTGGAGAACGTGAGGACTGTCAGCATTATGGAGGCCAAGCCCTCAGTAAGTGGTGAAGCGACTCGAGGAGTGCCGAAGATTAATCTTGAGCAGATCGAGCAAAACATCTTGTTCCAGTTTCTGCCTGAGCTCGAAGGCAAGCTGGAGCAGATAGGCAAAAGCGAGAGCATTAGCCCAGGCCGCTTTGAGCAACTCCGCCTACTCATCGATCATCTCAAACAGGCCTACGCCCCGACAATGGAGTGTCTCGGGCCATTGTTGCAATGCGAAGAGATCACCTACGATCTGCTCCAGGCACTTTTCAAACCAGGATGTCATGTGTATACAAAGTGTCTGGGCTCCCAAAAATCCCGATGTGTCGTGTTTGATGCGGGTGAAGAGGCTACCCAAAAAGGGGTCACCTTCTTCAAACTCGAGTGTCATTATCTTGACCACGATGGGTATGAGCTTGGGGAAGTGAGAACGGAGCTGGGTATCGTCAAATTTCGCGGACGCAGACCGATTCGTACTCTCGATGCATTTCCGCTGCAGTACCATCCTGATCGCAGCCGGATGACTCAGACACTGGTGGAACGCGGTCGCAAGTTCGGCGGTTTGATCAGACCGCATGGGCCTCTCATTCGACATTGCAAGGGTCGAGCTTTCATTATGGAAAGAGGGAAGCCCCAGGCAGTAAACATTGATAGCGTGGTTGCAGTCGATGCCAGCTTGTTTCGTGAAATGGAACCGAACTACCACCGACCGTGCGTCTCGGACTGCTGGGAAGACGTCTCCTACGTATACGGAATGACAGTGAAAGAAGACGAACGTCGAGGGCAACTAGAGAAGGTGAAGGAAAATGGAAAGACAGTCGATTCGATGACAGATGAAGACTTTCTGATATGTTGTCCAACCGTCCGTTGCTTCAGCTTTACTGAAACGAGGTTCTGTGAGTCGAGCCTCTTTCCTGCCATGCACGTGACTACGCTAACTCCAAGATAGTGGAATGCGGGGTGGGCGATCTCACAGACGTGGAGTGGTCATCAGCGTTCGACCGCTTGCAAATTCCGGAAGAAACGAGAGAAATTCTCTTGTCCGCAACGACCTCTCGCCTGTGTCGTGGAAGAGATGTAGTCTTCGACGATTTTATCAAGGGAAAAGGTCGCGGTCTCAATGTTCTCTTCTTGTAAGTTAGTTCGACTATCCCGTTGCAACAAGAACCCTTTCTCAAAAGCTGCCCTTAGTGGTGAACCAGGAGTGGGCAAAACATTTACTGTTGAGGCCACCGCCGAGCATTTTCAGACACCCCTCTACTCAGTAAGCAAGACCTACCAGTTCCTCTCCCTCATTCTTCCGGTCTGATAAAAATTGGCTAGGTCTCTGCTGGCGAATTGATGGCTGACCATGGCGATCCGTTTCATTTGGACGCTACTCTCGGTCGTATCTTTAAAATCGCGACACGTCTGAACGCAATCCTCCTCATCGATGAAGCGGATGTGTTCATGGAAAAACGATCCTCGTACCAGACGAATCATAACCGCCTTGTAACTATCTTTCTTCGGAAAATGGAGTATTATGAAGGGGTCCTTTTCCTGACGACCAACCGTATATTGGAATTCGATGACGCCGTTCTGAGTCGCATTCATCTAAAGGTGAAATATTCAGAGTTGACGAAGGACGCACGATTGAATATTTGGAAAAGTTTCCTTTCCGAGGCCCACACTTTTCAAGGGCCCGCCATCGTCGAAGCTGGTGATCTCAAGTGTCTAGCATCGATGAAATTGAATGGTCGGGAGGCGAGTCATCTCACGACTGTAATTATTGATATCGGCTGACCGTACTGTGGAATAGATCAAAAATATAGCCTCTATCGCCCAAGCATTAGCTTCTTTCGAGAACACGCAGGTGACATTCAAGCATTTAAAGAAGGCGGCGAAAGCAAACGATAAATTCGTCGAAGTGTTCCATAAGACCGACCGAATCGACGGTTTGTACACATAGGAGAATATGCTTTTTCATCGGTCCTTTTGCACGTGAACTTACGCAAGCCGAAGAGGAGGGGCTGCTTATATCCGAGGGATGCCATATTAGCTGTTCCAGAAATGCCAGGAGTTTCCCTTTCTACTTAGCGTAGGCTGGTATTGTCTGACACCAGCTAACCTATTTATGAGGCGGATCAAAAACATTACCTCCGCATTAGCCGCTGATTTATAATTCTGTCGTTCTATGAGCAACCCACATGTAATTAATACTCCAAAATCAACTGTGACAAAAAGAAATAGCACCCTAGGGAATTGTGAATGGGTACATTTAGTTGCTTAAAGCGTGACATGCAATGGACAAGAAGATAGGCATAACCAGGAAATTAAATCTTCAATGTAAGCTGCTGTGAAGCTTCTCACTAGCCACTGGCGGGGCATGTGGTTTAACTAGGTCCGTCGTCGGTGCGTGTGGGCAGACCCACTTGCCACAGCCTTCATCGCAAGCAACTCTCTGGTATCACCGAATACAATGCGCGATTTTCACCACCTACAAATCCTGCATGATGAAGATGTTGAAAGCAAACTACATCGCTTTATCCCTCAAATCGAATCCTGGTTGCTAGGAACCCTTCCGCTCCCTAATAAGAACGAGACCAGTCCCCGAGACTCTGGAGTTGTATTTCCCATTGTGACAGACGTCGATGCTCCGTTAGCTCCTATACGAGCATTGATATACCAAGGAGTAAGGAAAGAACAATTTTCAAATATGAGTACATATGCTAATAACCGGTTTAGTTAGCTGAATTCACGCTTTTCCGCACCTATCATGCCACCACAACGCCGTCAAACATGTCTAAAGCCGTCTATACCGTTCTTCGAGTTGAGGGTGAACCGACAATTGGAGGCGTGTCTCTAGGTCTCTCGAAATCAATTTGGATTGATCGGCCCGCTGTGATTGACGCCGGTTTCATTTGCCTGATCAGCAAGCCGACTGAGATCCTTGTTGGGAAAGATGTCGCAGTGTAAGATTGGGCAACACCGATTATTACGTTCTCTCATCTGGTTCCAGGACCAAGCGGACGTCGATCGAAATACGTGGGCGCAGGGTATCCAGCGAGCGAGGCGTCGAAATCGAGCAGTCCATTTTGAGATGACAGATATTCTCGGAATCACAGTTAGTGATGTCCTTACTAGAAGCAGTTGAGAGAGTATAAATGGCATGGAGTGACACACCAGGGGTCAAGATATCCAAAGACGGTATTGCATCTAGCTCAGATTGCATCGTTGCTTGGTTGCTGAAAGCGTCATTATCCACTTTATCTTGCGACCGTGATTCATTTTTTGTCCTCTTATTAGTCAAATAAAGAGACAAGAATACCGTGCGAATGTAAGATTGTAACTCACCTACCCCTAGATCCATAATCTGGCTATCAGAATTTTCTTGTTCACCGTAGTGTTCGGCAACAAATTTTACTGAAAAGACCTTCCAACCCACAGGAAGCTCCGCAGATGAAATTTCCGACTTAATGGCTCTTCGGTAGCATTTAAGGAACTGTTCGTGATCGCTATTTCGTAATGTGAGCCCATAATGAATTTCATCGTTCATACTGCGAAAATGACCATATAATTTATCCGTGCGAGGAAATCCACGGAGACACTCAGGACAAACCAGTCTTATCTTTGACAGCTCTATTATTTTCAGGAGATTGTTGTTCTCTCGCTGAAGAGCCATGATTTTTGTTGTATGAGGGTGGTAGACTAGGATAGTCCGGAGAGGGTGCTTTCTGTCCTTACAAGGCTGGCAATAATAGCTTGCCGAGCCCCGTCCGTACCCACTATCAACATAATAGGGTGTATGGAAAAGTCACGTATAGCCTTGTAAAGTATTTGCTTGCACACGACAAGCTACAGGATTATCGAGTCTTGGCCACATAATGGCGAAAGTGGGGGGTTCTTCAATACGACCTAGACCCTTGACTTAATCCCAAGTTTATGGCTCACCTTTGTTTAAAACGGATGAAGCCTCAGCCTTCTCGCGGGAGTCAACTGAACGGTCAATCTAACCTACCAGTCTGCAAAGCACATTGATAGTTATGATGAAAAGGGACGGCCAATCCTTTCTTGGTAACACCAGATATAATTGGACGCTGTCTCCTCGTGTTAATTGGCTGTATGCGTGGAGATCCTGGATTCGGGGATCTGGAATAACAGTGGGGCTTCAGGAGGGCTTCAGGAGGGTATCCACTGCCCATTAGCAATATCCATTCGAGTCAGGAAATCTATTAGCGTCATCGCTAAATCTGGCGGAGATGCGGTACCATCGATGTTTTCGTCGCGGAACGGGGGCTTCCGGAAGGGATCACCAGGAAAGTGATTATTGACCCGGAAAGTCGGTGGGGGATTTCCCGAGACTTCATTGTTTTTGCTTCTAGTATGGTATATGTTCGAGATAGGCTTGGATTGAGTCTGTGACCAGCCTCGTCTCTAGCTCCTCATCAAATATGGGCTCTGCGTCGACTTATCTGTGAGGTTCCATTTCATGATTGGGTACAGAAAGCTCTGGGCCTGTCTCCAAATCTTTTCCAAGAGGCCTGCATTAGCGCCATGGGCTGGTAGTACATATCACGTAGCCATGTATGAATGACAGTCGATCTTGTGCCGCACCGGTTTCTGGCTCAATCCGTTCAGACTCGCTTTATTTCCGTTGGGCACCTAAGCTGCAGTTCTATCACGGAATCGCTCAAACTCTGCACATGGACCCCGAGAATAATACACAAGACCCTGATGGGGACGAGTAGCTACGTTCCCTGCTTTTTCAGGCGAAGACCGAAACACCGACGTCAATGCCTAAAGAAAATCGCAGTCTTCCTTTGTGGAGATCCAATACGACAGTCACCCCAATAGACCTATTGACCGATGTGGAGATTTTAGACCCTTCATCCACTGATCCATCCTTGTCAACCTCATTCGAGCCAACAATGATAGCGCCGTCGGATGGGAGGCAAAGCCAGTCAGGTTCAGACCAGTGACTTAAGGAGATTATGGAACGGGGCAAGCCCAGCCAGAATCGGAGACAATTATTGAAGGATCCTCACATTGCCGCCTTTGCATTTGGTTTGATGAAATAGTATAAATACACCATACCTAGCCTATTCAACATTCAAAATCGCATCACCTCAATTTTTTCAATCTAAGTCACAGTACCAAAAGTCTATTACTACTGCTTTCACTATGGCAACCTCCAGCTACAAAGTCGCACCTGAGATTCAACAAGAAAATCTTCCTTCCCTCGATATAACACAATGCTTGGTCGCCGGCGGGTTCATTTTCAACAAGCAAGGGGAAATGCTATTGCTTCGACGCGCTCCGAGTGATTCGTTTGGTGGTTTTTGGGATTACCCCGGCGGATCTATTGAGAAGACTGATGCTCGCCTTTTGGATGGTCTGTCTCGTGAGGTGGCAGAGGAGACCGGCCTAATTATTACGGAAGTTTGTGAGTTGGTTGGCACGCAGTCCTGGAAGAAGAACGGCAGGAAGTATATAAAGTACAGTTTTATAATTACAGTCGAGGGAACAGACAGTGTGAAACTGTCCCCAGAACATGATGCTTTTCATTGGATCACGTGGGAGGAATTCCAGCAAAGTATGGACGCAATCGATGAGGGGGGAAGTGCGAAGTATACATTCAAAAAGGGGGAGGAAAGCGAGGTTAAGAAGGCCTGGAAAAAGTATCAGTTGTCCAATGATCGTGTGTCGTCATAGTTCCTGAGAGTACTGTATTCTTACCATGGACAGAATTACTTTTTGTGGGTACGGAATGGTGGCGGCCAATCAGATCGGAGCAAGCCCGCAAGGTCAATCGTGGATTTCGAGGTCTCGTACGAAAACGATTTGCCAGTACCATTGCTATTTATCTTTAAGACAAAGCAACTTCGCGAGCCTTCCCCTCCCAGTAATATGCGTTGAGAGATGGAAGCTAGGTAACGGCGTAAGTTTTCACGATCAGCTGTAAATGCCTGTAGATACTTACCGCTGAATTGACATTGACGATAGCAGTAAGTACAAGCAAGTTATCGATAATATCAGAAGAATAGAGTATATCATTGTCCTCCTTCCATCACCTATCAACATTAGCAAACAATTCCGTAATGTAGGTGCGTTTTAGTACCTTTGGACATGGTCGCGGTACTTTCGCATGTAGCAAAAGACTCGGCTGGGATTGGCTTTAAGCCAGGCTTTGCCTCGATGGTAATAGCAAATGTGTTGGTGACATAAATGTGATTTGTGGATGTAGGTGCCATGGCTAAATTTGATATTGGGCTGCATATACTCTGCTTGCATGAGGAACGAACGTAGTTTTATAGTTGGCAGGAATCAAATCAGACAACGGGCAAACCCATCGCCTCCACCTTTGACACTAAATGGTCTAGATTCTGCGTAGTACGAAAACTAATGACTAAATATTTAGTCTTCCACGGATACTATTTTGCTCCACACAGTGAAAGGTGCATGGCTTACTCCGTTCGTACGCTCGCAGGGGGGTTGCAGTCAATGCCGCGGCCAGGGATAGACAAAGAAAGATAAAATCGTTGAATCGCTATCCTATCCTGCCTAGAATTAATCGCTCAATCGTTCTGCACAGATGGCAATCATACAGAAGAAATCGATTGCTCTTGGAGACACCGGAAGGGCCCCGAAAATGGGTGAAACAGTTTTATTATGGGTCGCTTGGTATATAAATAACGAATTCGATGAACCAATTGAACGGTAAGACTGATATCATACATAGGAAAGCTCGGATGACCGAATGGATTACTAGGTTTTCTTCCACCGACTTCGCGGAATGCACTTTAGGAGATGATAATTTAGGAATAGACCAGCTTGTCCTGCAGACTAAGCTAGGAGAGAGGTCTTGTTGGCTGGTTAATGGGTGCGCCTTCCCAAATATCAAGATATCAAGAAGACTGACTTTGAGCAGCAAGGACGCAGGCAATCGTTGCGTTTATTTCCAGAGACCTGATCTACTGAACCAAACTATGACAGTGTGAGTATGTTGACTATACCAAGTTTGGTCGTATACTGAGGAATTGCAGGAAGCTTTTGGTGAGAGAAATCAAAGAGACAGGCTTGAGAATTTCTAGAACTTCAACCAGCGGCATAGACGCATCAATCAAAAAATAATTTCTCTGTAGGTGCTTTGGTACATCTTTAATGTGTTATAGGCCTGCATAAAGGCGGAAGTTTGCCAGGATAAGGGATATGGAAGAAAGCACAGTGTACGGTTATCAAGGTTCTGGCCAAATATAAAACTCGTTGTTATCCTACATTTATTCACAGTACCAATGCATCTTGTACACTGCCAGACATCATGTCCGACGAACAGCCCCACCAGTATGTCAATCCTGAGTGGTTGCAACTTCCGCGCCGTACATCGAGAGATGAGTGGCCCGATACCCCGCATATGGTCAACGAACCACCAAGCTTCCGGATTCAGGCAGCAACAATGGAATCCACTGGATTTACCATTGTAGAATGTTCCGAAGAGCCGTCTGAAAAGGCGGTGGAAAAGGTCCTAGAAGCTTTCAATCTTGCGTTATCCCGCGGTCTGACAGGCTCAGAAGGACCCACCGTTCACTGCATTGGTGGACAGGAGAGCGAGGAATACTTGCGGACAGGAACGGAGGACAAGGTGAGCATTTAATTCAACAACGTTTTTCATTGGCTAATGAAATATAGTGGATTGAGAAGCTCGCTGAGCGCGAATTTCGGAGGGAATACAGATGGATCCAGGAACAAAGCCCGGTTATCTTGCGCGGTAAGGACGGAGTTATGGAAGGCGATATAAAGACCGCGCATCCATCCAAAAAAGCTATCTCGATCATTCGAGTGGTCAGGGGGGAAATAGATCCATCGCGTGGTCAAATGAAATTGTTCGGCATGTCACATCATGGTCCCTGGCAGGTGGCGCATCGATTGACGAATCGGCATCTCCTTGTGATGAAAGGAATCTTAGAATGGAAGCTCCAGCCCGACGAAGAAACCGTGCTTATCTGGAAAGGATTTTCGGAGCACCCGATGCTGCAGGATGTTCTATCTCCGTCCGCTTATCCTTTCATGATATTCGCTGTACCCCTTAGTCTTGAAGGCGCATTTCCAGAGCCCTGGATGGCAGATGTTGGTACCGATGCATAATCTGCTGCGTATACCAGGTTCCATAAGCGTCTAACACTGGTGAGAAGCGGTGTGCTAGCTCTAGCGTAGCAGCGCATTTCAGCAATAATTTGACCAAGTAATCTTCTTCTTTCCGAGTGAGGTGTGGAAACATAGAGAATACAGGCAATAACATCAACGATATCCCTGTCACACCAACACCCCGTTCAATACGCAATAGTTTTTCTCCCAACGCTAGGAGCTTCCGGACTCGATGAGTTGTCGGTAAATTACGCTCTCGTAAGAATTTCGGGATCGAGCGAACGGAATTAGGTAGCAGTTCGACATTTGCTAAGCCTCCCAGTCCTGTTTTGACCAGCCATTCGTCCTCCTCTAACGCTAGGTGGCGTGCTCCAAGCAATCGCCTCAGCTGGTCTTCCCAAGGTTTCTCACCTCCACAGTGAGGCAGAAGACTAACTAATACCAAGTTGTAGTGTGGCTGTAATGTAAACTTCAAAAGAATCGAACTCCAATCATGCTTGACCAAAAATATGCATAATGCATCAGAGTTGTTCAGTATCGTTTCAAGAAACGTTTCCGCAGACATGGCTAAGTGGTTTGGTTGGGTTGACGGAGGGTATGTGTGATATGTTAAATGTAGTTAGGACAAGATACGTAGTGGGGTTACATCCTGGCTTTTTTATTGGGGCACTGTGCTTACGACTTTGGGTTAATAGTCCGCATCCGGCTTCTTAGTTATGCACTACGCCAATTGTCAAAGCGTAACTGATGGCCCGCTT